TGAACTGTGAGGGAGGAAGGAAGCATTGTGTCATCAAAGGCCCAAGGAAGAATCATGTCAGTTATCAGAATGGGAGCCAATGGCATTTTCCCCTGGTCATCCTGAGGGTACACTGGAAAATGACACAACAATCTTTCATAGAGAATCACACATAATGAAACCTTCCATCTCCTCTTCAGAGCACAGCACCTCATGCAGGGGCCAGGGAGCTGCTCAGCAGGGCCACTGGGATGCTTTTCTTAGACTGAACTCTCACCTCTAAATAAATTTAGTCTTCTGGTGAATTTTCCATTAAATATTTGAGATGGAGAAAAAGTAGGGCAGAAGTAAGTGGTGTTCTTAGGTACTGGGAAGATGTGGGGGTGCTCTTAGAAGCTGGCAGCTTCTGAGTAGTCGCCAATGGCTTGGGACACAGCTACCTGCAGCTCTCAGCTTAGTATGGCTGGACTTTGCTTCTGAACCACATGGGGGATAGCACCCATGAGATGGGAATAAAAACTTACTGTGAGATGTCTTGTGAGAAGAGGCATCATGGAGCAGAATGAAGTAAAGGATGTGCCCCTTTAGACTGTATAGAGAATTTAAAAGTGATAAAATTAAAGGGCTATGTCCCTCTTGTAACGTTAGTTTTATCTGTAGATAATCTCAGTGGATCATTTGAGCTTGTTCACAAATTAAAAGGTAGGCTTTGAGCTGTGCTTGGTGGTAAGCCTGTGATCCTAGCCACTTCCCAAGTCCTTCCAAGTGTGACCACCTTGATTAACTCTTTTTTTCTGACTTTTCACTATTAATTTAGCCTTTTAATTGGCTTACTGAAGATGGGTGGCAAAATCTGGCTATGACCCTAAGTCCAATAACACCTTTAAGCCTGATGATCTGATTTTGATTTCTGTAAATCACATGGTAGAAGGAGAGAACCTGCTCCTAGAAGTTGTTCTCAGACATCCACATGTGTATACCTCTCCCTCCTCTCTCCCTCCCAATCTCCCCCCTTCCCTTCCTCCCTCCCTCCCTTCCTCTGTCCCTCTCCCTTTCCCTCCTCTCTCTCTTTCTCCCCTAAAAAAGAGAGAAAAGAAGAAAATGAATCCTAGTGAGGAGTACAGCCGTTTGCTTATAGCTCTGTAGATTTGTGACATGCTCCCAAATTTGAGCTATTATCTATGGCTCTGCAGATTCTGATTTTGTCCAATGCTGGGTTTGTATGGGCTCCTGAGTGTGATGCGTGGAAATCTCTGGTCAGCAGCCCAGAGGATCCTTAACCAGGGTAACCAGAGCAAGGTAGGCTCAGGTTCCATCTCTCTGGAAACAAACACATGTAGGTTCTTATTTGCTTGATTTTCCACCTTCTCTGTGAGGCCTGGTCCTGCCCCTGGCAATGGAAAGAGCATGTTTCTTTTGACTGCTACTGGGAACTGCACTAAACCAGATGTTGAAGGATGAAGTTTCAGAACGTAGGAGTGTGTCAGTCACTGCAGTATTTGGATCTAAAAGAATGTAACGGTTCTCAAGAAATTGCAAACCTAGCAGAGATTATTTTCTGTGGCTTAACATTTCTGAAGCCATGTGTCAATTCAAGGACTTTGGGAAAAAAAACAGTTTATCATGTTACTTGATACAAAAATCTATGCCAAATGGTATGAAGGGGTTCTTCTTTATTCTTACAGAACAGGGGTCAGAAAACTGTGTGGCCGATGAGTCAGGTCTGGCCCTCTAGTCTTTTTACAAATAAATTTTGTTGGAACACAGACATGCCCATACATTTACACAGTATGTGCTTGCCTTCACACAAACTGAACATGAAGGAGAGATAACAGAGGTATTGTGGCCTACGTAGAGATAAAGGGAACTTAACCTCTGCTCTCCAAAGGTCTGGCTGTTTATATCCAATAAAGGGAATTGACAATAAGTAGACTGATAGGAGACAAGGCAAGCAAATATATTGATGTGCAACAGAGAGCACAGTAGCTCTCAGCTCAGAGAAGGTCAGAGCTTCTACACCTCTCCTGTTAGGGAAGAGACCGGTGGGGGCTAAAGAGCAGACAGTGGGTGCCATAGAGTGCTCTCTGTGGTGATTGGTTTTAATCTCTTTTGTGATAGGAATTTATGTTACATCCCTCAGGGGCTTACAGGGTATTGTATTTCCATTTTGTAGATCCAGTCTTTAGGAAGATAGAGGAAAAAGAAAGCTCTTCCATGTGTTTCTGAGAAAACAGGATTAAGAAAAAAGAGAAGGGAAGGTGGGATGGGGGAGGTCAGAGAGACCTTGAGGCTGCTGCTTCAGTTGAGCAGGTAAATCCAGGGCACTTGGGGGATAATGCTTTGTGAGCCCCAATATATAAAATAGCTGTGCCATTTAGTGGCTACCCTTTTAGAGAAGGGATTTGCAAGTCTCTCAATTTTAGCATTCTGTCAAAGTCTGTATTTCTGGGTTGTTGAGTGCTTGCTAACTTTGGGGCTGTAGGTAAGTTATTTAACTCATCTGAGTTTTTAGTTTCTTCACTTAGGACATGGATGACACAGAGGATTTGAATCTCAAATTAGATAACATATACAAAATACTATCTTTGTCCTGAAAATGCTGTGGAAAGCTCAAAAGAAGCACTTAGCACATTGCTGGGCACAGAAGAAGTACCTGTGAATGCTCAGATATACAAAGTGGTGACGGTTTCCCTCACTGTCTTCATTTTCTTGCACTCAGTACACTGCTGGGTAGCCATTGGGATTCCATCCTCTTCCTTCCTGCTGCTCTGTCACAGGCAGCTCTGTCTCCCACAGCTAGTGAGGTTTCTGAATACAGAGCTAAGAGGAGAGTAAGTGAGACTGGGCACACAGGGGCCAGTCTGTTATATCAAAACCTCTACAGCAGGTCGGCATGTGGCTGAGGTTCCAAGTCTGAATCCCCGGCCGGGTTAGTCCTACTGCTTCTCTGCTCACTAGATGTCTGAGCTAACTCTGTATCCTTCACCACCATCCTTAGCAGCATCTTTGGATTATGAGCTCATGGCACCTGTAACATTGAGAAGCAATGGTGCTAAGTCAAATATAGAAGCTTCTGGCCACGAAAATGAAACCCCCAACCCCTTAGCAGATTGTGTTGTGTAGAGGAGTGAGGAAAATCAGCGTGAGAATGCAAAGGCCTGCATGGCATGTGCCCCATGCATTTCAGGTCTTTACTCAGGGTTCTTATTTGACCATCCATGTTGAAATACCCATCTTTCTGCTGCTTGATTTCTCATTTAGCATATTATAACACATGCATTGTATTTCATCTGCTCATTCACTTACTGTTTCATCCCCGTGTTACAGAATAACTACAGTCTTGTTTATTCACTAATAAGTTCTTGGTGTCTGCAGCAGTAGTCATATATAATGACTATAATGAATGAATAAATAATGAATTATAAAGATTAAAATGAATGAGGGCTGGCCCTCAGGTGAGCTTGATCCTCAGCACCCGTGAAGAAAATCAACTTCGCAGAGTTGTCCTCTGATCTCCACATAAGAGGCACGCTCACACAGTGATAATTTAAAATTAACATTCTTTTAAAAACAATTTATAATGCAGGAAAGAATAAAATCTAGAGGACCTTGTTATGGTCTCAGAAATATCCTGATTATTGTGGGATGGGAGAACCTGTCTGAGGCTAGAAGACCAGGCAGTAGGGAGCCTCACTCACTCAAGCTGCCATTATGGCCAGGCCCTAAAGTAATATTAGCACAACACATTCTACAGAAACAAAAGATTTGTAGAGGAACCCTTCATCTTTAAGGTCAAATATGGAAATTATAATGAGAATTACAGGAGAGAATAGGTTTTGGAGGGATGGGGTGGGGAACTGGAGACTATTCTGGTATGTTCTGTCACTGAAGGACTTGTACCAACCAAATTCAGTGCTTATGATCACATCTGGGAACACAGGTAAGTTGTTGGCCCCCCAGGTGGGTTGGGAGCTCCTTTGGCAAACTTTCTGTTCTTCTGAGTCTGTTCTACCTCTGTGAGTGCATGAGTGGAGGAAGGAGCCATGTGTTCTCAGAAATGTGATGCTTTGCCAAATCCTAGAAAAGCTAGGGCAAAGCCAGTGAGGAAACCTTACCAATCCAGCTCAGGAGGCAGCTGTGGTGGACGTGGAAAGTGGGAGAACCTTAAACTGGTCGGCTGGGAGGCCATAGGTGACATATCTGGTTCTCAGTGACTACTGTCCTGCCTAGATAGTCCACTAGTAGGACCTGCAGTGCTTCTAGCTCTGAACTCAGACACACCTTGTCATACCCTGTGTTGGAGGCATGAGGAAATCCTGGACCAGAGAATCCCCTTGGGTATCAGGAAAGACTTCCTTGTCTGAGTCAAACCAATGCTGGGGAGCTAGTGAGCTGTTGTGTGAGATGTGGTACCTTAGAGAACCAAGATGTGTATGTGACAGTGGAATTCATATGAGTTCCTCCAGCACATGACAAGCCTGTTTGTCCTAATAGCATGACTGGGACTGCCCAACCATAATGACCCCAACCCACATTGGCTGTCTTAGTCACTGTTCTGTTGCTGTGAAGAGACACTATGACCAAGGCAGCTCTTATGAAAGAACTCGTTTAGTTGGGGGCTTGCTTAGTTATAGTTCAGAGGTTTAGTCCATTATCAGCATGGTGGGCAGCATTGTGGCAGGCATGGAAGCAGGGTGCTAGAGCAGTGGCTGAGAGCTATATCCTGATATATAGACTAAGAGATGGCCAGGCATGGGCTTCTGAAACCTCAAGTTTCAGAAACCACCAAGAAACACATTTGCTGCAAGGCCACACCTACTCTAACACGGCCAGACCTTCTAATACTTTAAAATAGTGTCACTCCCTGGTGACAAAGATTTCATAGGTTTGAGCCTATGGGGGCCATTCTAATTCTAACCACCACAGTGATGCTCCTACTCACAGCAACCCCACACATGGTGCCTTCCCAACTTCCTGTGACCTTGTGCCCTAAGTGAGCTGCCTCCTTTGCTTTGTTCTAGCATGGGCTATTGCATTCTCTTTGTGCATGGACTGAGTAAGCTCTGTGCCGGGCTGAGCCGATGTGGGGCCACCTCCCTGATGGCATCCACTGTGTTGCTGCTGCTGCTGTTTTCCTGGAAAACTGTGAAGCAGAATGAAATTTGGCTGTCAAGAGAGTCCTTATTCAGGTATGATTAAACAGGTAAATGTACATTTCTTCCCACTCTTCCATTGATAACGGACTTGTCTCCAAAGGAAGTAACATGGTTATGATAATATGTATTAACCTAGAAAATCGCTTTTAATAAATTGGGAATAATAATTTTATTTGTGAGTTTAATTTTAGATTTTTTAAAAGTGTTATATAAAATTTAACATGAACTCACTCTGAGTGGATTTATGAGAGTAAGAAGATTCTAGGTCTGTGAATTTGGGTGGAAATATCTACTGATGAGCTGGGCTGTAGAGTCAGTCACTGAAATGAAATCTGCATGCCTCATTTCATCATCCAGCCAGGTTCAAGGGGAAGGTGAGTACACAGCAGGAGGGTGAGACAGGCCTTGCGCTCTGTAGAATATCCAGAGCATTAAATCAGAATCTACGATCTCATTGCTTATTTTAAACATTGATTTTAGGTGAGCAAATAAAAGACTTCTTTTTCTGCTGTTTTTTTTCCTGTGTGGTGCAATTTTTCTGGACACATGTGGCTGGGTTGATTATTAGCAGCTCAGGAATAGAGCACTTGCCAAGCACACTGGGTTAGATCCCCAGCATCATTCTTGTGTGAGTGTGTATATTAGTGTGCACATGCATATATGTTCTGTGCATATATACTTACATAAATGTGTATATATGTATTTATATATACATAAACACATACATACATGCACATGTGCATGTGTTCATATATATGCACATGTACATATGTGTATATATGTATTTGTGCATATTTACATATATTGGTAATACATGTATGTGTGTAATTTACATATACATATAAATGTTAGCCTATAGCTTTCAGTGTATCCCAAAGTATGAATATTAGTATTAGTTGTAGAGGAGTGAATGAGTGAATGGACAGATGAGGCAGATGTTCACTGGGCTTTGTTACCTTTTGGAAAGAATGTGTCTGAGGCCAGATGTGGTAGCACAGGCTTTTAATCCCAGCATTCATGAGGCAGACAGATTTCTGTGAGTTTGAGATCACACTGGTCTACATACAGTTCCAGAATATCCAAGGATACATAGTGAGACCCTGTCTTCAAAAAGAAAGAAGGAGGAGGAAGAGGAAGAAGAGGAGGAAGAGGAGGAGGAGGAGAGGAAGAAGAAGAGGAAGAAGAAGAGGAGGAGGAGGAGAGGAAGAAGAAGAGGAAGAAGAAGAGGAAGAAGAAGAGGAGGAGAAAGAGGAGGAGGAGAAGGAGGAGGAGGAGAAGAGGAAGAAGAAGAGGAAAGAAAGAAAGACAAAGGAAAGGAAAGGAGAAAATAAAAAGAGAAAAATGTATCTGTCTCACTACCTGACAATATAAGCATTTTTAACATCGTAAACAATGCATGAGAAATGCCTCTAACATCTGCCTTGGAGTAAATGCTGTGTAAAGTTCTCAGAATATACCTGTGCTCTGTGCTCTGTAATTAGAGAAGAGAAAGATACTGGGTGGCAGAGAGGAAGCAGACTAAGAAAGGAGGACTCCCTGAGGGGCTGGAAGCCAGCCTAGTACAGATGTTACTGGGGTCCTCTGACTCAGCATCAGATACTAACCAGCTTTAAGAGTGAGCTTGGCCGTGTTTGAAATTTTTTTGTCTATATTATGGGATAGAGTGATTATAGCATCTGCCCTAGGATGAAGTGGTGACTGTGACCCATAGTAGGTGGGCACTTGGCTCAGCGTTTGGTTGAAACACTGAGTTTTCACACATATATATATACACATACACATACTGTACAGTGTCTGTACAGTATGAAATCTGGAGCCAAAGCAGGATTCAGAACTAAGGAGAACACAGCCCTTCTCCTTTCCTTTGCTCTGATGCTTTGGCTGCCATTGGTGATGTCTTAATGTTTGGTCTCTATCTAGGTTCTACCAACCTATTATTCAGCAACATGAACAAAATAAGTCAATGTTTTAAAGCCCAGAAGAGATACCTGATGAAAGTGGCTAGTCTCCCCTCTCCCCATTTCTTCTATTTCTCAAGTCATCTACAAATGAAAGGTGTGAAGGAGATGTGTGAAATTCATATGCTAAAACACTGAGCAGTAAGGGGTGGAGGGATGGCTCAGCAGTTAAGAGCACTGGCTGCTTTTCCAGAGGACCTGGGTTTGATTCCTGACACCCATATGACAGCTCACAACCATCTGTAACTCCAGTTACAGAGATCAAATGCCCTCTTCTGACTTCTCAGGGCACTGCACAGACATACATGTAGACAAAACATATATACACACAAAAAAATAAGTCTTCAAAAGCAAAACAAAACAACATACTGAGTGTTGGCAAACCCTGTGATCTCAGCACTTAGGAAGTGTGCACATCCACACTAGTTTATTTGTGATGAACTTTATGGTTTCTCAAGTCTCTTATTTGACATGATAAAAATGAAAAAGATTATAGTCCTTTAATGAAGGGTTCCCAGAGTGAACTCTAGGATCACCCCACCTAACTGGATTTGGATATTTTGATTGGACTCTGTCCCTGTTTCTCCCTCTCCATTTTCTCTCACCACCATCCTGCTCTCTGCCTCTGTGAGTTTAAATTCTTGTACACACAGCATTTTTCCTGTATGTGTCTTTTATAATGTCTTCCAGGTCTACTCATGTGTTACACATGGCACAATGTCCTTTTGTAAAGCTGAATAATATTCTATTGTACATAAAAGTCACAACTTTTTATTTGTTCATCTATTCATGGACCTTATGTTACCATATCTTGATTATGGTGAATAAGGTGGAAGCTATTTGATACTGACCCTGGCAGTGATTTCTTAAAAAGCACAATAAAGGATGAACACAGGCCAACAAAAGCAGAACTGAAGAAGGGAGGGTATATTAAACTGCAGCCTAGTGGGGCTACATCAGTCACACTTACAGATAGTGGGGTTACATCAGACTGTAGGCTAGTGGGGCTACATCAGTCAGATTGCAGGATAGTGGGACTACACAAGACTACAAGGCTTTTATACCTGGGTGTAATGCTCTTGGGACTATAAAACAGGATTGTGAATGGTGACGAACTTGGGCTCCAAAGAATGGTTGCTTTAAACAAGCCAGGAGTAAGTGTAACTGAGAGCTTATTTTAGATGGACCCCTTGCAGACTCTAGGTGAGAATGAAAACCAGTTCAGCCATCATAGAAACAGTATAGAGATTTTCCAAGGGACTGAAAATAGAGTCATCATGTGGTCTATCAATGTGTCCCTGAGTAACCATCCACAGGAAGTAAGACTGATACTCAGAGTCTGTACTCCTGCAAAAGGGTATAAATCTGGCTTCTATTGTGTCCAGTTCCCCTTGGGCTTGTCCCTAGCTTCACATGGCCCCGTAGGCCTCTCTACAGTTGCTTTTGCTTGAGCCTCAGCCAGGGGGCTTTAAGTGAGGCTAAATGCAACAAGGCTGTTATTTTAACAAAATTTGTCCTAATGTATTTCCCCAGTGGGTTTTATATAGTGCATGGAATTTCCCTACTAATATTGTCTCTTCATACTTAAAAATGAAATGGAAGTTTCATCTTGGAGAGGCGGCATGGTGGAGTTCAGTGCCTGGAAAGCAGGTTCCCTTCTTGTCACTCTTCCTCATCCTCATCAACTGATCTCCTTTAGTCAAAATAAGTCCCAGAATTTTCTTTCCAATCAAGCCTTTGCCCTGTCCTCCCTGCTTTCAAGAGCACCCACCACCACTTCCCCTCAGGTGAAAGAACAGGCTCCAGGCCCAGACACCCTGTGCCTGAGCCCCGTGCCTCTTCTCTGCTGTCTGGTCTTCAGGTCATGTTTACGCAGCAGATGCACGTGGCAAGTCAATCCTCTCCTGGTCCCACCTTTCTCTTATTATCTTCAGAGCTTGGGGGTGACCCTGTTGGGATCCCCCGAGCCTATGATCTCAGGTACAGACAAGCACCTGATGAGAAATAGAGCATCTGGGTTCAGCCACGTAGTGTTTGGTCATGTCCCTCCTCGCTAATTGATGATCATTATGTGCTTGTGGTTGGGAGCAAAGGCCGTGTGACATTTATAGGCTGAGTCCCCTAACTTCAACTCACACGACGATGCCTCAGCATGTAACTTTACTGTATTTGGAGTCAGAATCTGGGAGGGAAATGCTAATGAATGAAGTGATTAAGATGGGGCCTGACTCAAGTCTGCTGCTGTTATGGGGAAAGGCCGTGAGAACTTCCTCACTGGGCACATGCACTAGGAAAGGCCATGGGAGAACACAGCCTGAGGGCAGATGTCCACAGGCCAGGAGCAGGGCCTACCCAGACAGCAAACGAATTAGATACTTGACCTTAGATTTTAATCACCAGAATTGTGAGGAAGAAATTTCTCATTTAAGCCACTTAAGCTGTGGTGTTTCATTATGGCTGACGGAAGAGACTGTCACAGTGAGCTGAAGCAAGGCTTTTGATGCTTCAGAATCCTTATTCCACTGATTACAGAATAACCATTCCTATAATAATTTAAGTTAGCATAGACTGTATATGCCAATATTAATTTTGTTAAATCTTATCCATCAGTCAACAGTCATCTCTCTGGTGATGATTCATTTTTATACTCAATCTCAAATTATTGAAAGAAAGAAAACAAAAAGAAGGGTTAACTGAGTGAAGAAAGGAAAAACAAAAACAGAATTGGCCTGTGGGTATAAGGTTGCTCTGATGGAACCCATCACAGATCCTGCCACCTCTACCTGCTTCCTGTATCTCCTTGCCACAGCTGCCTCCCCCCATCTCTCCCTCTCCCTCCTATCACCCTGCTTCCTCCTGCTCTCCTCTGCAATCTCCATAGCATTTACCCAAGAAGGCCTTGCTGTCTGCAGTCCATTTCCACAAAGCAGCCATTGCAATCCTCAAACATTCGACTGTTGATCTCATTTCTGTTCTTCAAGCCCTGCCTTGACTCCCCTACTGCATTTCAAAGCAGGGATTCCTGTGTAATCACCAAGGCTCTTGGTTTCCTTACTCTCAGTCTGGTCTCTCAGTGATCAAGTGTCTCTTAGTCTCTCTCAGCTCCCGTGTCCCCAATGTCCCTGTTCTCATTTTCCTGTTAGGAAACAAAGGATAGGAAGTGGGACCTGACCAAATCGCCTAAGTGTCCCACCACCCTCTACCTAGTGACCCACTTCCTCTAGCTAGCCTCTACCTTCTAAAGATTCCACAGCTTTCCCAAGCAGCACCACTGTGAGCTGTGAGGGGTAGCTCACATTCAGACCACTTCTGCTCAGAACATTGCACTGCCTCTTCTTCTAGCTCCTAACCCAGCTCTTTTCTTTATTCTCAAAGCCTCAGCTTTGTTGCCTGCCTTCTGGAAGTTCTGTGTCTGTTCTGGGCTAAGCTTACTGTGATCTGTTGATGCAATACCCACTTAGGAGTGTTTGTTTCATTATCACTGTTTGCTAACTGGCCACATGTCCTCACCCCTATAATGTTCTAAGAGCCGACTCTGTGGGCATTTTATATCAGCTTCTGGACAGCATGGTCCTGAGGGGGTTCCACATAGATACTGAATGACTGCAGCATTCTGTATCTGTAAACTGGTTTTATTAAGCCACCAGACTTCTGGGATGTTGCGTTTACTGCAAACCATACAGTCTAGACCCAGGCATGTGATCATTATCTTGTTGTAAAGTCCTATTTTGTTGCCCCAAATCCCCCATGTTAGAGGAAGCTGAGATGTGGGAGGAAGCCAGAATGTGGAAAGAAGGCTCAGAGCACGGACACCTATGCTAGATTTCATCTCGTGCCTTAAAGGAGTGGTTTTGGTTATGGGTTGTGCCTTCTCACCTTATGAAATCTATCCCATCTTGCCTTCTAGTACCTTTGTATTGCACACACAGAATCATGTAGGCTACTTCACTTTCTATCCATCGATAAAAAAGCCTTCACCTGAGTTCAGCATGACAGAGAAGAAGGGCTTGCCTGAGGCTGGAATCACTCAGCAAGGGACAGTATCTGTATCAACTTCTGTGGGGTCTAACTTTACCACATTGTTCCTTATATCAGATCCTCTGCCTGCTGCTCCCTGAGTTGGAAGGTCAGGCTGGCCTGGACAATTGAAGGCTTTGTGCCCTGGTTTTGTTCTGGTCCCTTGTGTCTGCAGTTAAGTTCTGCTATGCCCTCAACAAAAAGCCTCAGCAAAGATGACCACACCTTACCAAGCCCCAGGTGAATCTCCAGAAGAGAGCAGGGTCCTTGTGTGTCCCTGCAGAGAATTGCTCTTCTCAGTCAGGGTGTTATCAGGTGTGCACACCTGGCCATGGCCTTCACTCCTTTCCCATGTAGTCACTCATGTAATTCACAAACTTCAGAAGCTTGTTTAAGATGAAGACAGTGGACATCCAAAGGCAGCTTCCTAAAGCTGGGAGTAAAGCACAGAGTCTGACAATAGTATGATTTTTGTTTTCTTTCTTTTTAATATCCATTGTAGGTCTGGAGTTCAGACTCTGCCCCACAATGCCAAGGTTCATTACAACTACGCCAACTTCCTAAAAGACCAAGGTCGGAACAAGGAAGCGATCTACCACTACAGAACCGCCCTCAAGTAAGCACTACAGAGGGCCTTTGCTTTGTGCTGTGACCAGGCCTGCTCATGCTACAACCCCTCCTAGGGTGTGTGGGTGGTCATTTCTCTTGATAGTAAACTGGCTCACCCTTGGATCCTGAGTCTTTGGGCTCAGCATTCAAGTCTGCCACAGATGCACTTGCTCGGTGTTCCTTTTTCCATGGTCAACGTATTGTAAAAAATAAAATTGGCATTGCTACACATAACACAGTGGGGTGAAACTCACCTAGATGCAAACATGTAAAGCAGGAGTTTCTTGTTAAAAATACACTGGTAAATTTGGAGACGGATATTTGTTCTAACTTTTAATAATATGTATATAGAAAGCTCTAGGCCTCTTATAGCCGTATTTTATGTAGTTTATGTTGGTTGGGTGTGTGTATGCACATGTTTTATGGAGGCCTGAGAACCATCTCAGGTGCCATTTCTTGGGCACTGTACACTTTGCTTTGAAACAGTCTCAGCAGCCTAGGAATTACCAATTAGTCAAGACTAACTAGTTTTTCAGACCTTGTCCAAAAAAAGCCAAACAGAGGGCTGGTGAAATGGCTCAGCGGTTAAGAGCACTGTCTGCTTTTCTGGAGGTCATGAGTTCAAATCCCAGCAACCACATAGTGGCTTACAACCATCTGTAATGAGTTCTGATGCCCTCATATTTGCGAGCCCAGAGCAAGTAGGGGCCCGGAGCGAGCCGGGCTGGAGCAAGAGGGAGGGAGGAAGGGGGGGAAATTCATAAAAAAAAAAAAAAAAAAAGCCAAACAGAAAGATGTATTCCATCATTGTTACATATAAAGTATGCTTGGCATGAATAATGAATGTTTCATGGTTTCTCTTCCATTCTTGAAGAAAGGACATAGGCAGTCTGTCCAACAGTGTTGGTGGGAGAAGGATTACCACCATGTTTACAAATTCTGTCATCTTCAAATAGAAAAGTAAATGTGACCTTAATCCACAGCTGGGCCAAAGGCTTACATTAAATTCTCTGGCAGTTGATTCCATAAAATTATAGTAGCTGGTTTGGAGTTTCTGCTCCTTTCCTGGGAAGCAATAAAAATAAATGTTTGATTCTAGAAGAAATATACACCCTGAAGAATAAGGGAAGATAATCAAAGCTATAAATCCAATGTTGAAATTAGTGAATTATTTAATGCTCTCAGGCTGGATTCCAAATATTTCTGATTTAAAATCTTGTTTTAGTATGTACTCCTCTGCCATGGACCTTCAGTGGATATGAGTGTTGTACTTTCTATTTTAAAATAAGCTGTCACTCTGTGTTAGACAAAAGAGGAAAACCCCAGGACCATTCATCATCTTGATAGTTGTTTATCCTTGGTGACTGGAAGATTGCCCACACTTCAGTGCTATTTCTTCCTGGGAATTGCTGACAGGGACTCATTTTCTCCCAATGGCCCTTCCTCTCTTTCAACCCTAGTATATCTCATGCTGTCCTTATTTACCACAGCAAGGAAAAAAGTGACTGGGGAAGCAACAAACTAAAGGCAGTGTGGCCTGGATCAGTTCTCCAATCCCCTCAGCTACTGAAATGACCATGCAAACCCCACAGGCAATGGAATTTATCTATTATCAGGGAGCAGAGAGCAGAGGGGAAGTGCAACCAGATGACCCACTTCCTTCAGTGAGGCTTCACCTCCTTCAGGGTCTACAATGTTCTCAAACAGCTCCTCCATCTGGGGGCCAAGTGCAAGTGCATGGGGATGTGGAGCCACTTCATTCATATGCAGACCATCTCAGAAAGACCATCTTCCCTTACATCCTTAACAAAGGGCAAGCTTGTGTTAGCTTTGTGTTGCTGTAGGAATCACCTCTCCAGTTTTGACACTAAAACCTGAGTTTTTGTATTAGTCAGGGTTCTCTAGAGTCACAGAACTAATGGAATATCTCTATATATTAAGGGAATTTATTGTAATGACTCATAGTCTGCAGTCCAATGAAATCAACAATGGGGCAGCTGTGAATGGGAAGTCCAAGAATCTAGTAGTTGCTCAGTCCACAAGGCTAATTGTTCAGCTGGTCTCCTGTATAAGCTGGAGTCCTGAGGAAGTAAGTTCCCACAGATGTGCTGGCAAGTAAGCGCAAACAGGGGAAGAAGAGTGAGCCGTCCTTCTTCCAGTGTCCTGATGTAGGCCTCCAGCAGAAGGTATGGCCTAGATTAAAGGTTTGTACCACCTCTGTATTTGGAACTTGTTTGTCCCAGGCTGGCCTTGACCTCAGAGATTTACTTGCCTCTGTCTCCTGGCATGAAAGGTGTGCACTACCTTGCCTGGGCCTACGTAAGCTTTTCATGGCCACTATGCCTCAAGATCTGGATGAAAAGCATGTACCGTCCCATGTCAAGATCTAGTTCAGAAGCCTGTGTCTTCTAGCCTCAAGATCTGGATCACAGGTGTGCCCTCCACACCTTTCCGGACTGTAGTTCATTCCAAATGTAGTCAAGCTGACAACCAGGAATAGCTGTCACAGATTCCCATGTGTGAGGATCAGAAAACATGGGTGTATCTACTGTGTATCTACCTCCTAAGCTTTTTAACTTTGTATTGTGTAGGAATAGGTCCTGCCATTTTATGGCAGATGATAGGAGAGACCTGCCAACAATCATTTCCACCTAGCAATTGCCAAGCAACACCTTATCCAGTACGTCCAGAGGAGGAGGTAACTCTGTCTGAACAATGTGCAGAAGATGTTGAATTCACACTTGGCTATTTGGGTGTTTATTAATTGTTGACTAGTTTTAAAAGTCAGTTAAAAGTAGAAAACCATGAAACAGGTCCTCCTCTTCCTTCCCTTCTCCTCCCCTCCCCTATTCTTCTTCTTCTTTCTCCCTCCTTCACCCCTTATTCCTATTTTTCTCCAGTCTTTTACAGTTGTTTCACAAACCAGAGGCAAATTTTTGAACAAAACCTTTTTTAGTATTTCTAATTTCTAACTACTTGCCTTAGAAATAACAACTTTTTCCCACATTTATATTTTATTTTTGTAAAATATTTCAAGGCAGTGAATATTGTAAGTGAAAAAAACCTGGGTATTAGCAGTCATGTAGTTTAGCTCATGGGAGTAGAGGGCTGAGTCTCTGAGTTGTACACATCCTACACATGTTCTTGGTTTAGAGGCTGTCTGGAGATCTGGTGTCATAATTAACAGGATTTTTGAAGCACAGTCTTACTGCAGGGGGTAGTTATGGGATATGTTTTTTACTGTTTAAATCTCCTGCATGGTTAAACCCTGTTGATCAGAACCAGCACCTGGGACAGAGACTAAAAGTTTGCCTTTGTCCAGGTACATCAGAAAGACTCCTGGCTGAGCAAAGTGATGCACACTTGAAATCCCAGACTGTGAGAGGCAGAGGCATGAGGGGCAGTGGAAGTTCAAAGCCAGCCTGGTCTACATAGTGAGTTGTAGGCCTGCCAGGGCTACATGGTGAAGAATTGCCTTAACTCTCATTCCCATCCCCAAAGAAAGAAAGAGAATGGTGTAAGGGAAGGAGGGAGAGACAGAGAGATAGGGAAGAAGGAAAGAAGAAAGATAGAAGACTCTCTTATCAGAGGAGATTCCATGGAACCTTTATCTAGTAGAGGTGTCATCCCTAACAATGTGCAGGATTCTATCCGGATAGAAGGGCTGCAACCTTCTACCACCAGACAACTCTTTTTACAAAAAATGGCTCCCTTGTAAACCCACAGTAAAATGTAGCCACCACAGTCTCAGTAATGTAGTCATATGATATGATGTCTACTCTAAAACCACTCAGGTGAACATTTTGATGAGGTTTATACTACTGGGCATGAATTCCTTCCTGTGCAAAAGGTCTTAAAGTCAATCCAAAATGATTGATTACACCCATACCCTTTGGGGTACTATTGTACCAGTGAGCACATCTTGCCTGGCAAGTCAGTCAGTATTGTGTGCAGAGTTAACCACAGAATATTTCCACTCGTGGGTTTTTCTCCACCAACAGCCTAGACAGCATCTCTGAAACTTCAAAATCTAACTTGCAGGGAGGAAGTTTTCAGGACAGTTCCTGCTTGATCTCTCCATGTGCTACAACCAAAGTTGTATCTGCAGCAATAGGCTCTTACCATCTAGTTATAGTGAGCAACCAACAGCAGTGGCAATAGCCTGGTTCTTTGAGGGGTATGAGTGCTCTTGGGAGTTGTCTTGATTACTTTTCTATTGCTGTGCTAAGATATAATGACTGAGGCAACTTAAAGAAGAAACAGGTTTGGGGGTGCTTACAATTTCAAAGGCAAGTCCATAACCATCGTGATATAGAGCATGGCAGCAGGCAGGTGGACGTGGCACTGAAGCAGTAGCCAAGTACTCACGTCTTGATCCACAGACACAAGGCAGAGAGGAAACTGAGAATGGAGTGGGGTTCTGAATCCTCAAAGCTCGCCCCAGTGACACACTTACTCCAATGACATCATACATCCTAATCTTTCTCAAACAGCTCCACTAACTAGGGACCAAGAATTGAAATATATGCACCTATGGGGGCCATTCTCATTCAATCCACCACAAGAAGTATCAGGCCAACTAAATTTTTCTCCTGTACAAAAGAAAAGTCCAAAACGATGGTTGATTTTCATTGTTGACTTGACTGATTAAGAAACACCGAGGACGTTGATGAGGGACACTTCTGGGTGTGTCTGTGAGGGTGTTTCCAAGGAGTGAAGACCTACTCTGAATGTAACTGGCACTATGCCACAGCTGGGGTCTTTAGCTGAATGGAAAGGGGAAAAGAGGAAGCTGACTGAGTGCCAGGGTTACCCTTTGGGGTAGGTATGAGCAAGCAGCCTTATTCCCTACCACGGTACATTTTTATCTTCTCAAAGTAAATCCTTCCCACTCCTAAGTTGCTTCTGCCATGGATTTTGCCACAGGTGCAAGAAAAGGAAATAATACATCCACCCACTATTTGATTGTCTAACACACAGGAAGAATTGAACTAAAATCTATTGCAG